CTTCACAGATGCTGCCAGACCTGCTGAGCTTTTCCAGCAACTTCTGTTTTTGTTTCTGATTTACAGCATCCGCAGTTCTTTTGGTTTTTATTCATATACATTTTGCTTGACATTAAAAATCCTGCCGTATTGTTGAAACAGTACCATAATAAAGGGTGTACTTTGCCTTGTGAATTAATGTTCTCATGTATTAATTTTTATTATTTTAAGGGAAAGTTCTGGATAATGTAAGAGGCACTAACAGGTGCATCGCTGAAAGTGCATGTCCTTGTGAATACAGCGGACAGATTTATCCAGCTGGAGAGATCAGAAACACTTCGTGCCAGTCATGGTATGATTTTCAGTCCATTTACTATCTATTGCCTAAATGTGCCTGTATTTCTGTGGAACTACAGTTATTTTGTTGTTCATTCTTCTTTTCAATCACAGCACTTGTGAAAGTGGAAAATGGGCATGCTCTTACGGCAGCTGTCCTGGGAGATGTACCATTGAACAAGCAACATATTTTACAACATTCGATAACACCTTCTACAGTTTGGTCGGAGATTGTTCGTACTACGCAGTTTTAGTACGTGTGGCATATTAGCTGTTGTTCATTAAGTTTATAATGTTAAATCGATTTTAGTGATTTTCTTTAACCTTTTTCCCCTTTACAACAAAAACAGACAAATGACTGGAATATTGAGGTTGCGATCCATCAGTGTCAAGTAGCATTTAAGCAGACATGCTTGCAGCGTGTTACCCTAACTAAGAATCAGGTGAGAATTTATCAAGACCTTTCTCCTCATACTTCAATTCCATCATTATGATCACTAAAATGGGACATACCCGTATATATTTTTTTTCATAGACCAGCATTGTGTTCAACAATGATGGCGCTATATACTTAGATGGAAATGAAGTTGCAAGTCCCCTGAGAACAGGTAAAAAAGTGCTTAGTCCCATTTTATGAGATAAATGACTAAATGGTTAAAGTGAGTTAAACCTATACTTTTTCTATTCAACAGGAGAAGTAATAATATTTTGGCAATCCTCAAAGTTCATTCAAGTCGCAACAACATTTGGCCTGAAAATGCAAGTGCAGATTAATCCTGTTATGCAGCTTTACATCTCACTGTCTGAGGATGCGAAAGGAAGCACAAAAGGTTTGGCTCAGAAAGAGTTACTCGTTGATAAAAGACTCAGTTTTTTTTAAAACTCATTTCCAGTTTCAACCTCATGAGTTCCACGGTAATTGAAAGAGGGTTCAATGTTTTCCATGCTTACTCCATTCAGAGTATAAGATTTGATCATAAATAATAGTAAGTTAAGAAATTATATAAGCTATAGATAGAAAATAAGGTATAATTTACAACTTTCACCTCTTTTCTTTATGCTATAAGTTGTAACAGTTGCATTCCAAACCTTCTGAGCCTCTTCTCTCTTCCCCTTCTATCCTCTGTACTATGAATAGAGTAGTGAAGTTGCAGTTTGCTGCCACATGCTGCTCTCATCCAAAGATATAGCAGCTCTCACTGGTGATCCCACTCAGCCTCTGTTGGCCTTCGCCCATTCTCCATTCAGATGCTCTGCCCTCACTGGTTACTCTGTGTAAAGTCCATTTTGTGACCATTCCAACTGCTTTTACACTGTGTCCTGGTTTACCACAATGTTTGTGGGCAAGAGATTGGGATGTTATAAAGTGATTGCTCTATATAATATGATTACAATAAATGACTTTGCAAATAAGGTATGCAGTAATGCTGCCATGTTGAACACACATCGATGTAAACTGCCTTAATATATTGATAGTTCTGAAATTTAAACTCAATAATTTTGTTTCGTAAAGCTGCATGAGTCATATCTCCCAATTGAATATTGCAGAATCTTGAAAGCAGTCAGGGTGGATGTGGTGTAACTGCTCTCTTGTGATGACTTGTGTTGTTTGTTTCCCAGGTTTATGTGGCACCTTCAATGATGATGCAGATGATGACTTCCTTTCTGCACAGGGCATTGTGGAGAGTACACCCATTACTTTTGCTAACTCCTGGAAGACTGGGGACAGTTGTCCTGAACCAACAATACCTTCTCCTTGTGTCAGTTCAGAAAATGGTAATGGTCCATTACAATATTCCTTCTGACTAAAATAATAGCTAGTTTGCTTTGGAATTTGTTTTTAAACTAAGCCGTCAAAATAAATCATTTGAAATTCAAGCTTGGGAATGAGGTGATTCAGGAGAGTGCCCTTTCAACCGCTATCAGAATTTCAACCTGGTGCACCCAAATGGCAAGCTTTTTTCTGTGTTGACTACAATGAGGTTTTTTCTACAATGTTTCATTAATTTTGGGTTATTAAAGCATCATCTGCAAATAACAAACCCACAGCATAAGCTTGCTCACAATCCTTTATTCATTTCGCAATGACCATTAATATCATTAAAAGAGGATGGTTGATTTTGAATATGGAACCATTCAAATTTGGCCTGTGTAGGGTTGACATGCGGGTCAGTCATCATGGCATATTGTTGAGCCAAACTACTGTTTCCACTGATTATTAAATTGATAATAAGAAAACATAAACTCAAGGTGGTCACTAGAGCATATTGGGGGAAATCTGTAGGAATATTTTGGGTCAAAGAATTTAGTACTCAGGATACCTTCACATAAATAAAATTGAAGAGGAGGCAATCGAGTAATTAAGAGAAATTTGGATAAATAGCTGAATTTAAAAAAAAATAGACGACGGAAAAAGTCTCCCAATGCATTTGTCTTCTACAATGTTTATTAACTGACATTGGTAATGTTTCTGTAATAAATATGCTTTTTAAGCAACTCCGTGGAATTGACTCTTAGGTAGATAAGTAATAATTTCATCAAGGGTCTTTTGAATACAGAATTTATAAATTCCTTAAACTCACCTAACTAAGGAATTTTTAATTCTGCATTTGGGATATTCAAAAAACAATGATAAAATTATTACCTTATCTATCTAAGAATCAATTCCACAGAGTTCTTAAAAATGCATATTTCTTGGGCTCAACATAGAATTAATGGTACAATTTCTTGCTTTCTTGCTTATCAACTTGACAAGCATTTCTGCTGAAAAAGTTGAACTCCAAACTGGCATATTCTCTATGGAACAACTCTTTGTGAACAAGAGACATGAAAGCTTCTTTTAAAGTGAAAATAAGTAAGAAGACTCTATTTACATGTTCATGTTTGGATACAACCCTAATAACACTTTGAAACTTGATTACAGAAATCTACGCCAAGCTACATTGCTCCCACTTAAAAGATCCAGTAGGTGCATTCTCTGTTTGCCATTCGACAGTGGATTACATGAAATACTATCAAGTAAGAGTTCAATGTAAATTTTCTAAATTTTGTCAATTGTTATGGCTTAGTCAAAGCACTCTGGTGTCAGAAGATCATAGATGGGAGTCCCACTCCAGAGACCTCACCATATAATTTAGGTGCAGTACTGAGGGTGCTGTATTGTCAGGCATCATTAACCCTCTCAGGTGAACATAGAAGAACATGGGAATGGATCCTCATGGAGGCAGGAAGAATTCATAGGGGTGTGAAGTGGCGACAATGACCTGAATGTGGGATTCCTTAGTCCTATTTCCCGTTGTCACAAATGTCATCAGTGCAGGTTAAGGGTGTGAGCCAATATCCTGTTTCCCTAATTGGGCTGGCTCCATTGCGGGCATAGGCATGTTAATGATAGGCATGGCAGGATGTGGAGAAACACAGCTTAGAATGGAAGGTATGAAGTGCCCATGGAGTGGGTAGAGGGGCATAGTTTGGCATAGTGGTAATGAGCGGACATGAGATTTGCTGCGTGCAGGTTATGAAGGTTGGGGACATTAGATGGCAAGGATTGGGCATATGCATAGGGGGTGAGGGCTAAAGGGCCTTACTATTACAGGTGAGATGAATTTCTCTCAAATCGATGTGGGCCTTTTAGTCAACCTGCTTCTGTATCCAACAGCCCATGTGCTGCTTCTAAACTCTTTATGGGGATACAAGGCCAACTTGTGCTAACGCCCATCTTTCCCCAGAACGGAAATGCTGTCTTGGCAGGCACTTTCTCCCGGGGTAGGTGCACCATGCCAGGAAATATCCTGACTTCTGTTAACCAGCTTGAAGTTGAAAATCCAGCTCCTGGATTTCCTAATGGTCCTGGCCAACTGTTAGCCCTCAAATGGCATCACTAATGCACTTAGTCTGATAATTTATAGTATCATTTGTGAAATCTCACTGTGCAGAAAGTATTTGGTGCTCTTAACTAAATTACAGCAACACACTTAAATGGCTATAAAATACTTTTGGACATCCCAAATTAAAGAAGTGCTTTATAAATGCAAGTATTTGATTGCTTTGTTTCTAGTTAAAAATGATTCATAAAGTCTTGATAATTGTGATAATTGATGGAAAATCAATACACTGAAGTTTTTTTAAAATTTGATCAAGGGATGTGTGTGTCACTGGCTAGGCCAGCATTTATAGCCCATCCCTAATTGCCCTTGAGAATGTGATGATAAGTTGCCTTTCTGAACCGCTGCATTCTATGATATGTCACTACCCCGACAGTAATGTTGGAAAGTGGGTTAATGAATTGTGGTCAAGTGATATTGTTCCAGGTCAGCATGGTGTGGGGCTTGGAGGGAAACTTGCGGGTAGGTGGTGTTTTCATTTCACCTGCTGCCATTGACCTTCGAGATGGTAGAGACCGCACATTTGGAAGGTGCTGTCAAAGTGAAATAATGTTCCACAGTAAATTATTATGCAGTACATTTGATGTACTCTCTGTGTATTAATAAAGGATAAGGTGGCATGATGGCTCAGTGGTCAGCATTGCTGCCTGACAGTGCCAGGGACCCAGGTTCAATTTCACCCTCGGGTGACTGTCTGTGTGGAGTTTGCACATTCTCCCCGTGTCTGCCTGGGTTTCCTCCGGGTGCTCCGGTTTCCTCCCACAGTCCAAAGGTATGCAGGTTAGGTGGATTAGTCATGCAAAATTGCCCATAGTGTCTAGGAATGTGTCGGCTAGGTGGATTAGCCATGGGAAATGCAGGGTTACAGGGATAGGGTAGGGGGCGAGTCTGGTTGGGATGCTCTTCAGAGGGGCAGTGTGAACTTGGTGGGCCAAATGGCCTGCTTCCACACTGTAGGGATTTTATGATTCTATAATGAACAGAAGTTTATTGCAGAATAACTCATATAGAAATAACATATCAAAATCTACAAAACTGAACTACAGCCATGTATACTGTACGTTGTGATTGTAAATTAATAATGGTATTGTATTACACACATATTTCAAATAAAATATGATTATTTTAACAATTAGCTTTATTTGCTTAGATATGTGTAGCTGCCACCTGTGCCTGTGAGAACATCAACAACTGTCTGTGTGCAGGATTGGGAGCGTATGTTCATGAGTGTGCAGCTCATGGTGTCATCGTCAGAAACTGGAGGAAAGATATCTGCAGTATGCTATGATTTTGCTTTTTTTTTAGGAAAATAAAATACAGAAATTAAAAATACTGGGGCAGTTTGATCTTGGTGGATTGTCAATAAAGGTAGAATTGCTTTTATTATCTGCTTTATAATAGAGCTGTAAGGTTTTGTGGTCCAGCAGTAGCATCTCTGTCTTTGGGCTGAAAGGTCTGCCCCAGGGTGTGTCATAACATATCTGAACAGGTTGATTAAAATAACTATAATAAACCTGTATTCAATGGAACTGAATAGTGTGCAGCGTGTTTAATGAACAATTGCTATGATACTGACTGTCACACTCTCTAAAAGTTTTACATGTTTCAATGAGGTCACATCTCTTCTAAACTCCAGAGAATATGGACTTACTTTACTTAAAATCTCCACATTTTCTTAGCAATTTCCCTCCTGCTGATGTCAGACTAACTGACCTATTGTTCCCTGTTTTCTCTCCCCTTCCTTTTGTGGACAACTGGGTTGTATATTCTAGTATCTTGGGAAATCTGAAAGACATCAATGCATCCATCATATCTGCAACCACCTCTTTTATAAACCCTCAGCCATGGACCATCCATCCAGTGAAGATATCAGCCTTTATCTCTTCCAGTACTTTTTCTTTATTACTATTAATTTCTCTCTCTCATAAGAAACTCAATTTCCCTCAGTTTGTAGGATATTCTTTCTGCCCTTAGCTGTGAAGATAAACAAGAAACAAATTGCATAACATCGCTACCATTTTCTAATTCCTCATTATAATATCTTGTGTCTTTGACTTGGAAATACTCAGGTTCACTGTCACTAACCTCTTCCTTTCCACTGATAAAAGTGTTATATTTTTTCTAGATAAACCATGTGCCAACGCCCAGGTCTTTGAGAATGACATGAGGACCTGTAACCGCACCTGTCGATCATTATCCCGTTATGATTATACCTGTGATGTTGAGGACATACCAGTTTTTGGCTGTGGCTGTCCTGAGGGGAAATACATGGATAACTCTGGAGAATGTATTGATAAATCAGCGTGTTCTTGTTATATGGGTGATACAGTTATCAAAAAAGGACAAAGCATAACTCTGAATGGTAGAATCTGGTAAGTACATTGATCATATTCTGCAAACATTGAATAAGTAATTAATTAAATATATGTAAAAATGCAACCTTATTTTATTTTTATTCAGCACATGTGAAAATGGGAAACTTTCCTGTCCTGTAATTCCTACCACCACCCAGCCAGGTGAGCTGCTGCTTCCATTTCTTACAATGTCATCAGGAGGAATAGTGATTAAAAGTTCAATCAAAATTGATAATGATGGATTTTCTTTCTTAGGATGTCTGAATGGGAAGATTTATAATGATTGCACCAATAACATCTTCCGTGGAAAGAGCAAAGCAAAGACATGCAGAAGTCGAAATATCCCGTCTGTAAGTGACAATTAATCATTCAGCAATTTGTTGTTTTGTGGGCTTTAATTTTACATGACTATCATGCCAGTGAGAACTGATTTTGGATAGCACATCAATATGAAATAAGTAATGTGATGAGGAACAGTGACTGATGATTTGATTTCAATTGACAATCTGAGTGCACCTTAGGTATAGTCTCACATTAGAGCTTTGTAACTGGTACAAAACTGGTGGTTGTCTGCTAATTGCCCACAGGGCAGCTAAGAATCAGCTACATTGCTTTGTGTCTGGAGTATGTGTAGGCCAGAGCAGGTAAGGATGGCAGATGTATTTACCTGTAGGGCATTTTTTGTCTATTCATTTTGTGGGATGTGGCTGGCCAGCATTTCTTGCCCGTCCCTAGTTGCCCTTGAGAAGGTGGTGGTGAGCTGCCTTTTTGAACTGCTGCAGTTCACTTGCTGTGGGTTGACCCACAATGCCACCAGGGAGGGAATTCCAGGATTTTGACCCAGTGACATTCGTACATCAGATGGGTTTTTACAACAATTGACAATAGATACATAGTCACCATTAAGATGACATTTTATTCCAGATTCAAATGTCACTTTCTGCTATGGGGTGGTTCAAACTCACATCATCATCCTAGGTAACTGGATTACTACTGACATCACCATTAGACCAATATCTTCCCGTTCATCGGACTACCGTGGAAAATCGCAAACTTGACTTTCAATGTTGGTGGTGAACTGGCTTTCCAGTACTCTATATCCTAAAGGGGGCAAGGGTGGTCCTGGCAACTGGACCCAGGGCCGGGAAGTGGAGTCAGACTGGGGAGTGCAGCCAAGGAACAAAAACAAAGTTGCTGGAAGAGCTCAGCAGGTCTGGCAGCATCTGTGAAGGAGAAAACAAAGTTAACGTTTCGGGTCTGATGACACTTCCTCAGAACTGTGTAGCCAAGGAATGGGACTGAGTGCAATCCATGATGAACAGCAGGAACTGGAACTGCAACTGGTGAATACCTGACTAATCACTGAAACTGGGAAAAAACTGGGCATTATTTTTGAAGAGAGAAACAGAATTAATCATTTTGGAGAAGCAGGCAAAGAGACACATGGGAGGACTGAAGCAGATTCAGGAAGTGAGGAGGAAAATTGTCATAAGAGAAGGGCAGAGATTTGTGGTAAATGACTAGAGGTTTAGAGAGGTTTTAAGGAGGAATGTTTTCACCCAGAAAATAGTAGGTATCTGGAACTCACTGCCTGAAATTAGGTAGGAACCATCACAACATTCAAGATGTATTTTCATGGTTACTTGAAGTGCCATAGCATGCAATGCTATGGGCCAAATGCTGGAGAATGTGACTGGAGTAAATAAGTGCTTGCTGACCAGTGCAGACATGTTGGGCTGAAGGGCCTCTTTCCGCACTGTAAAACTCAATGACTCTCTGATTCTATCAGGAAGTGCTGCTTCTATGTGTGTCAGAGCAAACTGCAATCTGTCTCTGATGATCAAACATTGCACCATTAAGTAGCCGCAATATAACAACATAAGTAGAGTCATAGAGTCATACAAAACGGAAATAGGCCCTTCGAACTTGTCCATGCTGACCAGCTTTCCTAAATTGAACTAATCCCATTTTCCTGCATTTGACCTATATCTCTCTACACCTTTCCTAACCGTGCACCTGTCCAAATGTCTTTCAAATGTTGTAATTTTGCCTGCTTCTACGAGTTCCTCTGGCAAAGCATTCCACATTTGCACCACCCTCTGAGTGAAAAAGTTGTCCCTCAGATTGCTTTTAAATCTTTCCCCTTTCACCTTAAACCTATGCACTTGAGTTTTGGACTCTCCTACCCTAGGAGAAACACTTTGGATGTTCACCCTATTCATGCCCCTTATGATTTTGTAAACATCTATAAGGTTACCCTCAAACTCCTGCGCTGCAGAGAAAATGTCTCAGCCTATCCAGCCTCTCCTTATAACTCAAACCTTCCAGTCTCGGTAACATCCTTGTAAAATATTTTACAAATTCATTTTAATATGTAAATATTCTACATTGTTGCCTTGTTGTGCAAATTCAAATATATGCTAACAAACCTAACTTTTCAATACAGGTATAGATTTCTATTTTCATATTCCTGAAACAATATAATATTTAGCTTAGGGATAAGAATAATTGTGTAAAATTAATAATGATAAAGTCTTTGCAAATCTATGTTGTTTATTTCTCAATGAATTTAACACACCAAACTAAAAAAAAAAAATTGCTTCCTTTGCTAAAAGTCAAATAGTTGGTGTGTCCCTGGCTGTGTTTGTCCTGGTAATCTTGTGGAAGATGACACCGGAAGATGTATTGACCCTGAACAGTGTCCTTGTTTATTTGGAGGAGAAAGTCACAATTCTGGCGAAACAATCCAAAGGGACTGCAATAAATGGTGAGATTAAATAATTACCAGCATTAAAAGAAAAAGTCTACCCCTCTTGTTGGATTTTAGACCATGTTAATGTTGCAATTGTCCAGTGTCCTGGATTGAGCCTACATTGACATTTCCATGTTCCATTCAATCTGCTAGAATACCACTGTCAACAATTTTAAAATGATTTGCTTGTTGCTGGCCAATTTAACTGGTCTCTGGTGACTCTTTATTCATTGTAACGAATGTTTAAAATAATTTCAAAAGGCCAAGGAGATGAAATGTAAATAAGGATAAAGAACTTGGAGAAAATAAATTAAAGTAGGATATATATTTTGGTATAAATTTAAGGAAATCAAAACACTTAAGACTAACTTGAACAGCACGATCAAATTTCTGTACCTGATTGTTAGAAACATAATGAAGTACTGAAATAGCCATATATAGTCCTTCTCAAGGGCAATGGAGATGGGGAAACAAAGACTGCCTTTGCCAACACTGCTCAGATCCCTTGAAAGGATAAAAGAAAAGCTTGTATCATAGGGATTGGAGAAATATGATTTAATCCAGGATTCAAAATGCAAAAATACAACATTGCAGAGAAAACTAACAATGGTAAAAGAGGATGAGGGGTAATTTTATATTTACAGGATTGGTTGGGTGCCATGGTATATTCCTGCAGGACAGCAAAACAGGTGGTTGTATAAAGGGCTTATAAACCTGGTACACAGGGATGTCTGAAATCAACAGTTTTGAGAATAACTGAAATAAGTTCTTGTTACGTTTAGTGCTGAGGTGACACTCTGGTACTACTAGGAATGTAAGCAAACTTCATTAAATTTGGATTTGGAGGGTTGGTGGACTACTTTCTTATTTGAATTTATCTCATTCCTTTAAACACCAGAGTGTACATGCATAAACAGTTGTAACAATGCAGTTTTAGATCTTATACTCCCTTCCTAACGCCACATGGATTGCAGCAAGTCAAAAAGACTACTCACTACCACCTTAAGGGCAACTGGGATCTGCAATAAATGCTGCAGTGACTAGGCAGTGACATCCAAATCCTGTGAATGGATAAACAAACGCACATCATTTAACAAATTGAAGTACATAGCTAAAACACACCAAGCAACATTGCTCCGATTTAAAAGACCTACATGCCCCTTGCCCCAGTTACATTGTGTCAATTAATTCTAAAGCATTTCTCATAAACACTCATGATCAGATAAAGATTCTCTAGATTATTGAAGACATCACTGAGTTTTACTTTAAGGTACTGGATCATTCTTTTCATATGTGGAGATATCTATTCTCAGTATACTCCTTCCAATGCTTGGGATTTACAGGTCATCTCATCATGGCCAAGATCAGACTCTGTATTTTAAGTCAGAATGATTATTCTCATTTAATTAGTGTTGGTCCTGCATGCTGCTCAGGACAGTATATTAACTCTTTTGATAATGACATACTTTGTCCAATATGTCTACTTTTAGCTCTGTGCTGTCAAGTGTTATAAATTATTTGGATGCATCGCTCAGGATTGGCTTTTCGTTTCTTGGGACTCACATTGGTTAAAATAGTACTTGATGTTATTAAAATAAATTAATTAATACCCTTCTGTACACAGCATACTTAAGGATTTTGGTGCAAATTTATAATAGTGTTTATAAATAATGTTAATACTGTGCAGCAGAAAATGATTCAGGTTTTTGAGAAGATTTGTAGCTCGGGTTGTGGATGAGGTTGTAAGCTTGCTCGCCGAGCCGATGGGTTTGGTTGCAAATGTTTCATCACCCTGCTAGGTAACATTTGTCTGTGCACCTCTGGTGAAGTGTTGGTGTTCTGTCTCGCTTGTTATTTATATGTCTCGGTTTTCTGGGGTGGTTGGCATCACTTCTGGTTCTGTTTCTCAGTAGTTTGTATATTGGGTCCAGTTCAATGTGTTTGTTGATGAAGTTCTGGTTGGAATGCCAGGCCTCCAGGAATTCCCTGGCATATCTCTGTTTGGCTTGTGCGATTATGGATGTGTTGTCCCAGTTGAAATTGTGTCCCTCATTGTCTCTGTCTCTGTCTCTGTGTATTGAGACCAATGAGAACTGGTCGTGTTTCTTGGTGGCTAGTTGGTGTTTGTGTATCCTTATTGTCAGCTTTCTTCCAGTTTGGAACTTATAATGTTTCTCACAGTCCTTGCATGGTATTTTGTATATTACGTTAGTTTTATTGGTTGTGGGTATGGGATCCTTTATGTTCGTCAGTAGCTGTCGCAGGGTGGTTGTTGGTAACGTAATATACAAAATACCATGCAAGGACTGAGAGAAACATTGCATAGGCCAAACTGGAAGAAAACTGACAGTAAGGATACATGAACACCAACTAGCCACCAAGAGTTACGACCAATTCTCACTGATCTCAGTACACACAGACAAAGAAGGACACAAATTTGACTGGGGCAACACATCCATAATAGCACAAACCAAACAGAGACATGCCAGGGAATTCCTGGAGGTCTGGCATTCCAACCGCAACTCCATCAAATAACACATTGGACTGGACCTGATATACAAACCACTGAGAAACAGAACCGGAAGTGATGCCAACCATCCCAGCAAACCGAAGCATATAAGTAACAAGTGGGACAGAACACCAACGCTTCACCGGAGGCGCACTGACGATGCTACCTAGCAGGGGGACGAAATGTCTGCAACCAAACTCACCGGCTCGGCGAGCAAGTCTACAACTAGAAAATGATTCACTTTGTGAATTAAATCCTTAAACATTTGTCTTTAGAACAAAAACGGAGCCATTGTTCTGTTTTGCTTACTAATTTTGTCACTATTCAGCGATACAGTCCTGGAAAATTAACAAAGCATAAAAGCATATTATACGTTTGGGTGAAATAACATTGTGTGATGTATGGATATTTGCCTAATTGAGAAATATGATTCATACTTTTCAAATAATAAAATAAATCTAGAAATTTGGGTTGGAGCAGCCATCAGAAGTAGAGCTCTCATCTGCTGATAGAGAGGTTCTTTGTGGTTACAATGGTCAAGATTAGAACAGCAATGTTTTTAACAACGTATTTTTCTTGCAGTCTATTTTATGTGTGTTCTCCAGCCTAAGTAAGATCCTTACCAGAGAGCTATTGAGTAGGAAAGTAATTTAAATTGTAAGCATTCAAAGGTAGAATTACTCAGGATTAATTTGAATTTCCCTCATTTGCAACAACAACCACAACTCGCATTAATATAAAACATTTAACAGCACAAAACACATCATAGCGAGAGATTAGTTTGTCATACCTTTTGTATCAGCATCTGAATTGCATTCCCTCTGTATAAACATTTGAATTGCATTCCCTTTGTATAAACATCTGAATTGCATTATGGAACAATATTACTTGTGTTTTATATTGCAGCACTTGTCGAGCTGGAGTATGGCATTGTACCTCTAATCCATGTCCAAAGACCTGTCAGGTCCATGGAGACGGTCAATATCTAACCTTTGATGGAAAGAGATATATGTTTGATGGCAACTGTGAATATATTTTTGCTGAGGTAACTGGACAAGAGCAAATGGTGTCCCTGAAAATGCTGTCTTTGTAGTTTACTGTATTCAATCGGGTGGGATTTCTGAATTTCTTCTAAATCAGTTGATATAGATTTCATGTGGGATTTTTGTAGACTCCTATGTCTTATGAAGCAGTAATATATATAGTAGGCACACACAGATATCCCTGTGCTTCAAATCCTAGTGGAGAATGAATTACTTTTTATTTCTCCAAGTTATATCATTTATTATTCATATTTTCTCATCCTTCAATTCATGCCGAACAATTCCCCACCTTTCCCTTTTTGACTTCTGGATAAAGAAGACGAATTAAACATGTGTCATTCAGCTATTTGTGTTCACCCTTTGCCAGTAAATCAAAACTGAATGACAGTAATGCAGCATGGAATGGAATGAGTTTGGATTATGATAAAAGACAGCTTTCTGTGTGTTAGGTTGCTCCCATTCTTTCTCAAAACATTAATCCAACCATCTGCCTTTCCCTCTTTCCGTTATTACCACCTATTTTGCCATCACCATCCATTTAATTGCACTTCCACTGCAGTTGATTTCTCTTTCCTCTTCCCATTTACTTTGTATTTTTCTTGTTTTCTTTCGCTGCTGTCATTTGCCACTGCCGTACACTTCATTTTCTCCTCCCCACCTCCAGCAAATCTGCTTCCCCCTCCTTCTACTGTATTCTATCCTCTTCCCTCCAGTCTTCTTGCCTTGATTTGCTATATGCACATTCTGTCATCTAATTTACTACAATTGTATTTATCCTGGTAGTTAATGCACTGGACAGGTCTCACTGCTTTTTCTGCGATCTCTGTGGCTATCTTTCTAGATGGTAGACCTGATCCTACTTCAATGTGTTAAATCCAGCCTTACTGGGCATTCTAGTAAAATGCAGTGTCCAGTGTACCTGCTGCCTTCCCACCCACCCGTGACCTGTTCCCATTTTACCTGGCGGCAGTAGAGGGTTCAGTTTTAATGTATTACCCAGCACAGTCCTGGACCTTGGAATTTGCCAGTCTGCCACAATTGGTCAAGGACAACTCCTTGTATTAGAAGATCAACAAGTTTCAGGCAGACCAGAGAACCACTCACCGAGTTAATGGACCTCCAGTCTTAGCGTGCATCCTAGGGTACTGCCCATACAGCATATTCCTGCATTACTGAGCAGCTCAGGATGAACCTTGACAAAAAAACCCCCACTGCATCTCTCTCTAGATCTCCTCCTTTGCAAAGGCACATTCCAGAAGGAGGTGTATGATGGGCTTTTCACCACAGCTGCCATTTTGAGGGCAGTGTGCAGTGGCAGGGGCAGCTTGAACATGCATGAATGCCCTTCTCATCAGCAGTCAAGCTACATCTTGGTGCTTGTTAGAAAGGGTACTTTGGCAGGTTTCATTGAGTAAGCCTGCATTGGATTGGGCAGGGTGGGGGTGGTAACAGCAACCACTTTTGGGGATGCCTTCCACCGATGGAGGCACCCTTTTTCATGATCATATTCCCCAATTTACCTTACACTCACCCCTTCAAACTCATTGCCCTGGTATGGCTTTCATCTTCTCCTCTTCTCTGTGGACTGTCTGTAGAGCCAGTGGTATCCACCACTTGGAAAAAGTGCTGCTGAGGCTACAGAGCTGTTGGCCAATTTGATCAGTTGACAGCTTCCCAAGTTGTGACTTCCTTCCCAGGTTGGGGAAAATTTCAGTAAGACAAGCAGACAACCTATACTGGTCTGACCTGTTTCTGACAACTCAACATGGAGCTTTATACAATGACTACATTCCTGTTCATGCATTATGTGCTATCTTACTGTTTTATTTTCCCTCTGGGAAGTTTTTTTTAAATTCTGAGCTAATTAACATTCCACCAAGCATTAAGTGGCTGTGGGACAGCTAGCTTTTTTACAAGCCCTTTTTTTAGTCAGGTGGGAATTGAAGGGAAAATAGTGCGTTATAAAATAAGGCTTGAGGAATCCAGGCCTCAGTGTTGGTAACAGTGTGGAGCAGGAATCTACACTGTACAGGCCTCACTGGACCTCCTATTCATCCATAACTGTAATCCTCAGAAACCATCAACTCAACTTGTAGTCAACACAGTGTGGAACTGGAGGAAAGCAGCAGGCCAGGCAGCATCGGAGGAGTAGGAAAGTCGATGTTTTGGGTCGGGATCCTTCTTTAGAACCGGGAAGGAGGAAGGGAACTGGGAAATAAATAGAGGGAGGAGGGGTGGGGCTGGGGGAAGGTAGGTGGGATGGTGATAGGTGGATGCAGGTAGGGGGTGGTGGGGATTGGTCGATGGGAGGGGTAGGGCGGAAAGGTGGGAAAGAAGATGGACAGGTTGTGTCCGGCCAAGGAGGTGAGAGGGAGGAGGGGTGGGACTGGGGAAGGGAAGGCAGGATGGAGACAGGTGGATGCAGGTGGGGGTTAATAGGGATTGGTCAGTGGGAAGGGTGGGGCAGATAGGTGGGGAGGAAGATGGACAGGTTGTGACCTTCTGGTCACAAACGATTTTAACTCCCCTTCCCACTCCCTTGATGACAGTGTCCATCCTGGGCCTCCTCTAGTACCATAATGACACCACCTGCAAACTGGAGGAGCAGCACCTCATATTCCGCCTCGGGAGCCTACAGCGCGATGGCCTGAACATAGAATTCACCGGTTTTAAAATCTTCCCAGCTCCAGCCTCATCCCAAGTCCAAATCTCCATTCGTGCTCACCTTCTTGACCTGACACTACCTGTCCATCTTCTTTCCCACCTATCTGTCCCACCTTCCCATTGACCAATCCCATCACCTATCCACCTATCACCATCCCACCTACCTTCTCCCAACCCCACCCCTCCTCCCTCTATTTATTTCCTAGCTCCCTTCCATCTCACCAGTTCAGAAGCAGGGTCCCAACCCAAAACGTTGACTTTCCTTCTCCTCTGATGATGTATGACCTGCTGTGTTCCTCCAGTTCCACCTTGGGTTGACTCTATTTTTCATAGAATCCCTACAGTGTGGAAACAGGTCCTTCGGCCCAACAAGTCCACACTGACCCTCAGAGCATCCCACCCAGACCCATCCCCCTATCACCCACTGAATCAACACATCCCTGAACACTACGGGCAATTTAGCATGGCCAATCCTAGCCTGCACATCTTTGGACTGTGGGAGGAAACCGGAGCACCTGGAGGAAACCCACGCAGACACGAGGAGAATGTGCAAACTCCACACAGACAGTCACCCAGGGTGGAATTGAACCCGGGTCTCTGGTGCTTTGAGGCAGTAGTGCTAACCACTGAACCACCGTGCTGCCCTGACTCCAGCATCTGCAGTTCTTGCTATCTCTGAGTGACTAGTAACTTATAGCTCTTTGAGCATGAGCTTTGGGTAACTTGAAGTGTGAGAGGACATTGCCTCTGTCAGCTCCCATTCCACATTACTTGGTTTTGACCACCTCCAGCATGTGAAGAATGAACAAGATGACACGTAAATGGAAAACGTGTCTGTCAACATCAAATGCTGAATTCCACTTATACTGTTGCAAGATAGAAAAAGCTGAAGGCACATTATCGTTCCATACTTTCTTATGTCTTTACTTTTATGTCTTTTCAGGATTATTGCAATCAAGGAAATGGGACATTCCAAATATTAACAGAAAGTGTTCCATGTTGTGAAAATGGTGTGACATGCTCAAGAAATATCAAAATTTTACTCACGGTCAGTAGTTTTAACACTGATTTTGAACCACTGTCACAGATCTATGTACCCCAACCTGCTCATCCACAGAGTTTGGGAAAATGACATATCTGGTGGATCGTAGAGTACAAAGTTTTCTTTTTGGCTTAAACTTTGCAGAAGTTCAAGTACTCACCCGATCACATGACCCACATTTACGCTGTATTGCTGCTGCAAAAATATCGTCATGAGCTGACACGAAGAAGAATTGCATTCATATTCAAAGGTCAAAATCAGTATCACAAAAAGGCTCAGTAACAATCTCAATTCTCAAAAAATCCCAATCATAACATTGAAGTTTATTTTAGCTGCCTTTTTGACTCCAACATAATTAAGAATTTTTACAAGCATACCATTGGATAATCTCTAAAGGTTACTTTTGAAAGCGATTTTTGTTACCCCTCCTACCTGTGTGGAGGAGAGGTGTTTCCTAAAATCACACTGGCTGGTGAATCCCGAAAATGCTCCCAGTATCCAGTCACCAGCTCCTGCTTTCTGCCAAGTTACATCTTTTACTTGTTTTCCTACCCACCCATGTCAGGCAGGTTCTATGTCAGACCCCTCTAAGTGCTCCACATTTTCTACACCTACCTGACACCATCTTGCTGCATGCTTTGTACTGTAAGAATCTGGAAAAAGTTGCAACATGACAAAACATATTCTCGAAATAAAGCATCTAAAAAAAAATAGCAAAGTGGAGATGAAAGACAGCAATGAGGCAGACAATAATAAAGGTGGGAAGTGATATAGCTGAAAATACATAGAAAAATTACAGACACTATGGATTGCAAACAATGAAACCGTTACAGAAAATGGGGGGTCAGTTTTTGCGTTTGTATCAACAAGCGTATTAACCGATATTATATCTTCAATATGCCTGTTTACAATACCAACTGAACAAACATGTTTAAAACAAAATGCAACTTTTAATTTTAGGGCAAAGAATTCATTCTAACAGATGGCAAAGTAATTCAATCTGATAAATCTCGTGAAACCCAGTGTGTAGATAGTTCCTATTCACTTCATACTGTTGGACTCTATTTAATCCTTAAATTTTCCAATGGGATCACCGTGATATGGGACAAACGAACAAGAGTTTCAATCACATTGGATCCAAGATGGAAGGTAAGCATAATTTGAAGGTCAGATATTTCTATTTGTATAATTTTCTACTGTGATAAGTAGTAAATATGAATTAACCAATTTAGAATTATGGATTTAATAACTTGGAGAAATTAATATTGTGGTGATTGTAACAAGGTTAGCCAGGTGGACCTCAGAGAATATGAGTTCTCTGATTGAGGCTGTGAATCGGGTCCAATCAGGAACCACTGGCTGACAGATAAGAACAGGCACATCAGACATCATGTTCACTCTGAGAGTTGTCTCTGAGGAAGCTGGATCAGTGTCAAGGAATCTCCACATGTAAATAAAGGATGACTTGGTGATGGATACAGGCCTTTGTAGAGTTATTTCAAATATAAGTTGCATTCCACATCATAAATGGGTAACGCCTTTGCTAAAGAAATACACCAAATAGTTTCATTATAAATATGTTAAACTTCCAGATTAATATCAATAGGAACATTTGATGTCTGCTCATGTTACAAGTTTTGGTATTGTTAATTACATATATTCAACATAATATTTTGCAGTCAATACTGAAATAATTTATTTTCATCTTAAATCGGCCTGTAGTGTAATAAATTAAAAATAGCTGCAAGAATCCAGTTGGATCCCTCAGAGCAAGGGACTGTTTAAACTTCTAAGTCAATTAAATAAAAAATAAATCTGAGAAATGAGTGAATAATAAAAAATCCAGGACTCAACAGATTCTGAAATGGAATGGATTGAAACTATCGCCTCAGGATATATATGGGCTGTAGTGACAGATTCAGTCCTGACTCTGGATTCCAGCTCTATCTGCAGATTCCATGGCTGAAATTGCAGAGTGTAAAATTGAGCCATAAGCCATACACGACTGCAAAGCTTTTATTTGTGCTGAGTTAGCCAAAGTCAGTTGTGCTGATAGTAAAGGAACCACAGCCATTTCTCCAAATAATGCAAGGGTTTCATTTGATTTCTGGTCAGATAGCCAAAGGTATTAAATTCAGGAAGCTGAGCAGTCAAATTAGTTGGAGCACAGGGGAATCTCTAAAGGTTAAGGAGACAGTATGTGCCTGAGATGAAACAGGTGATTCAGGATTCAGGGTGAGAAAGAAGAATTTATAGTCATAAAGTCATAGAGTCATCCAACACGGAAGCAGATCATTGAGTCCAATCAGTCCATGCCCAAACATAATCCCAAAGTAAACTAGTCCCATCTGCCTGCTCCTGGCCCATATTCCTCCAAACCTTTCCTACTCATATATCCATCCAAATGTCTTTCAAATGTTGTAATTGTCCTGCATCTACCACTTCATCAGGAATTTCATTCCACATGCAAACCACCCTCTGTGTAAAAAATTTGCCTCTCATGTCTTTTTTAAATCTCTCCTATCACCTTAAAAATGTGTTCCCTAGTCTTGAAATTCCCCATCTTAGGGAAAAGACAAGTACCATCAACTCTGTCTATACCCCTCATTATTTTATAAATTCTATCAGGTCACCTCTCAACCTCCTACGCTCCAGTGCAGAAAGTTCCAGTCTTTCCTTATAACTCAAACCTTTCATACCCAGCAACATCCTGGTAAATCTCTTCTGAACCCTCTGCAGCTTGATAATATCCTTCCTATACAGGGTGATTGTGACACCAATAATTAATATTTTGTTTCAGGAAACAGGGCACTAAATTCCACAGAATTCTTCCTTGTCTTTTGCTGTAAATCCAATGGGACGGTGATGGAGCTCCCAAAAAATGGGAGAAAATCCAATCTCCATTGTTCTCCTTGGGGGATTTCATGGTTTCCTGACAGAGTTACAGCAAAAGACAAGACCTCCCCTTTGGATTTTCAGGGAGATGGATTCTTTTTAATAATATATTGATGCATTTTCTATTACAGAACAAAGTGTGTGGTCTGTGTGGGAATTTTAACGATGATGTTGCAGATGATCTAACAACCAAGGGGAACTCTGTGGTGACTAATGCTGTAAAATTTGGAAGCAGCTGGAAATCATCATTGTCTTGTTCTGATGCAATGAATCAAACATTCCCTTGTGACAGAAATCCCTACTGTTTAGCATGGGCCCAGAGAAAATGTGGTATTATCAAGGATGCTGTTTTTCAAAAATGCCATAAAAAGGTGAGTTAGTGTTTCTTCTTGAAACCAATAAAATCATGTTAAAGCTGTTTGTAAAATACATTTTCTGATATTATGGTGTGTCTTTTACCAGGTTGATCCTATACCATTCCATGATGCTTGTGTCCAGGAGGCTTGTGCCTGTGATTTGGAAGGGAAATACCTGGGTTTCTGTACTGCTGTAGCAGTGTATGCAGAAGCTTGCAATAAAGCTGGTGTTTGTGTTCCCTGGAGAACCCCAGACTTATGCCGTAAGTATTAAGAATCATTTAAATAATTGCTAAGGAATTGTAGTGATTATTGAATCAATGGAAGTAAATGAACAGATATCAGTAATTGAGCAGTATGAAAATTACAAATTATGCTCCAGAAACTTTCTGAAAGTTTACAATAAAATGTAGAGTTACAAAAGAAATGTGTTTTCTTTTGTACTTCATATTACATTAATCTATTCGATATTCCATCTTGCTTATGAAGGGCATGCATCAAATAGCACACTTGCTTTGGATTTTCTCTTGGGTTTTGGATTTGGAATTTAACTTTACTGCTCAGTACAGAAATCTAATATTAACATGCAGGGTTGTATCAATATAATCCTTATTAAATAAATAAATACAAACTACTCAAAGAGGTAGAATGATCAGTACAGAAATGTGTTACTGTATCCTTTCTCCCTTATCTCCTGACAATCCCAATGCCTTACCTGAACTACTCATTGTCTTTCCTCATGAAATTCATTGGTACTCTGCCCTTGACAAAAACAAATCTCCCTACTGAGTTCCTGACAGTAGCATGAGAAATGGCTTTAGTTTCTTTAACTAAGGGAAAAAAATCAAACCATTAAACTCTCTTTCTCAGTACCATTCTGTAATTTTCATCCCACTAGACCCATCCAATACTTCTCTCAAAGCTATCAAGTTCCTTCAAAAATCTTGCTTTAGATGCGAGCAAGACCAGGTAAAGACTGCAGATTTCCTTCTTTAAGGGAGACAGGTTTTTCATGTTTTCATGTTTTCAAATAGGTTTTCATGATTGTTAGTTTTCACAGTCATCATTATTGAGGTTAGCTTTATTACTCCAGATTTCTTAATTGCACTTATACTTCACTCACTGCGGTGATGGGATTCAAGCCCATGTCCCTAGAACACTAGTCTTGGCCTCTAGATATCTAATCTACAGACATTGCCACTACACCCCCATCTCTCCCAAAGACCATCACCGATATCCCAAGTCCACCCATTACCATTTCCACATTCCCAGCATAACACTAACAGACTCTGGAACTGTTTATTTTAACAAAATCTACACAGTCACACATCTTTCATTCCAAACCTCCCAACCTACCTTTAACCTGGAACGTCTTCCTTTACCGTTTTCCTGCAGACCTTCAAAATTAAAAATAAAATAAAATTCAGTGTAGAACTAAGCAAGCATTTAATAATAATCAAGGTAACATAAAATATGAATATGATGATGTAAGATCACAATAAAATGAAAATGCTTCTACTGCTGCCAAATGGAAACAAAAATCTAGTTATTCAGTCACAATTAAGCCTTGATCTTGAGAGTACATTGTACATCTGATAGATTAAATTGTTGGTCTGAATTATGTGCTCATTGAAGAATGAATGGTTAACTATTGTGGACAGATTCTCTGTGGGTGTTTACACTGCAATTTGCAGTAATAAGAAAGCCATTTCAGCCTGTCATCCTTTACAGGGCATTGGTGCCATTGTGCACAGGTAACTGCATGTCTCCCTTACTAAAATGCATTGACAAATCCTTATTAATCACAGACAGTCAAAATCAGAAAGTGCAATTTAGAATATTTAATTGAAAGTAAAGTCATGTGCAGAAAGCCAAATAAAGAGAGGAACAGAATATGGTATTAAGAGAGTGAGGGAGAAGGGTCAGAACAAAAGTGTTAAAACTTTTAAAAAATCTCCAATAATAAACTCTGAATAAGACTCCCGCATGTAAAAGTTAATTTCAATGTTAAAGATGTTGTTTGGCAGTAACTAAAAGTTCACTTGCACTGAAATGGTTAAGCCTAAATCATTTTTGGAGAAGAAAGTGGACATCTAGTAACACAAATTCATGTCATTTGTGTATTTCAATGTCACGTCTCTCAGCAAGATATTCTTTGAGCAAAGTTTCTGAAGCACCAGGGCAAATCCTTATTCCTACATTTAATTATTGTCTGAGTGGAAGCAGGAAGCTTATGTCTAATTTACATCTTAATAAATGGTATGACCAATGGTCACAACATTCTTCTTACCACTAAGTCTGAGCCAGTTTGGCTTATGACTTGCCATTAACATCACCATGGAAAATATAATAATCATGTACAACAAAGGTATGGATTGATACAGCTGAAAGAAATCACTGAAGGATAACTATCTTTATTGTTTATCTTGTAGCTGTATATTGTGACTATTATAACACTCCTGGGGAATGCAGCTGGCACTATCGACCTTGTGGTACATTAACAACGAAAACCTGCTCAGACCATTACATTGGAAAGACGTTCTCTGCAGTACTTGAAGGTTCTGCTTCATTATTACTTTTTCCCTAATCATTGTTTGTACATTAAGGTTGATTTGCAAATGCCAATTTGAGTTTACAAAATTTTCTAATTATGAAATGTTTTTGAAAATGAAATGTTGAAAAGCATTATAACTAAACAGATTGAAATGTTTTTGTGAGGCATTTTAACAAATTAAAAATATTCATATTATCACTTTTTTTTTATTAACTATAGGTTGTTATGCAAAATGTCCAGAGAATGCTCCTTATCTGGATGAAAACAAAATGAAATGTGTAAATTTGACTGAATGCACTTGTTATTATAATGGGAAAATACTGCAACCAGGTGAAACAACAAGCAATGACTGTGAAGAATGGTATGTATTAAATGCATTCAATTTTTAGCTCATATTAGCAATGAATGAAAAAATGTTTTATCGAATGAGCCTAACGTTCTGTTTTCTCTTCTTTTAAAACAAAAATGATGTGTAAAATGTTACAAGGAAATGTTTACTTAAGTATTCAATTAGATGATGTTACTGGTTATAAAGTTAGTACTGGATGTCTGCAATTCAATACCGGTCTTGGACTCCTTATGAGGCTGTTGAAGTTAGAGGTTGGAGGTAAAGCATTATTTTGGTAAAGTGGAAATTCCACTTCTCTGGGAAAAGCTGCATACATCAGGAAATGGAAGAAAGTTAAATTGTGAAATGTTAAGCTTCTTTGATATACATTTCATTTAGAAATGTCGACATATTAGCACCAAGAAATGTCCACTTGATGTAATAGATTTAAGGATTTTTAAGACAACAACAATGAGCATGTAAAATAATAAGCTATATGCCAAATAAATAATTCTAGTGGGAATTAGCAGGTGAAACAAATAAGAACCCTATTTTCCAGTTTGTCCAAATCTACTTAATCTACTTTGCAATCTTTTGTCTAGTGATTGCAAGAATGGGAAAGTCACATGCAGAGGTTAGTAAATCTTGAAATATTTAATGTGTAATAAAACGAATAGGTGCTCAGCTGCAGTTACTACATTCCTACATAATGGTGCCATTAATAGTTTTGTGTAGTATTTAAAGGACTGTTGATCTTAAGGCCCTGTGGGCTAATGACCTTTGATGTTGCTGAAGTAGGCAGAGTCAGAGGAGGTCAGGTAAGTAAAATATTCCTTAAAGAGTTTTAGCCTTACCTTGCTAGGCTAGGGGCTCATGGAGTGGAAAATCAGTCCATGTGACATCCATTAATTAACAGTGATGGTGAGGGGACTGCATGCTAACAGATGCAAGTTAGGGCTGCAGTGTACCATCCCTAAGGGCACTTAGACCTTCTGATTTGCAATGCCATCAAACCAGTGATATGTAAAGGGACCCCTCGAGACTTCAAACAAAAAAAAATTCAATCTTTGATATTTGTTTTTATGTGGACCTAGGAGAAGTGAGGATGCTCATCCAGTTCTACTGCACTGTTGTGGATCAGTAACAATCCACATTCAAGATTCATAATTGTGGAGTACATGAAGTTGTTGTCCGAGCTTTCAATCTTTGAGGGAGTAGAATTTTGTCTCTCCTTTGGAGTAAAATGGGCAGTAACAGATCAGCTCCTCATGTTTAATTCGATTAATGACTAAGGAGTAAAACAAATTTCAACACTCAGGATTGTAATTTGTCTAATTTATTTTATATTTTACATCAGTAGTTACAATATCAGAAATAACATTTTCAGATGTATCATCATTTGTAACAATATTTACCGCTACCTCTTTATACAATTTAGAAACAATCAAGGGAGCTTAATTTTCTATTGTATTATTTTGTGTACCTTCTTGTTTGAAGATATTATCGATGATTTATTTTTAGTTTTAAAGATGTAATATTTGGACTTTTTTGGATTCAAACGGTAAAGACTTACCAGGCACTTAATCCCCAGCATCAGCATCATGTATCAGCTGAATAGTACAGTATAGGGAAGATGCAAAGTAAAGTCCTTTATAATCATGCAATACTTGAACAATTAAATTGGATTCATGTAAAAACATATTAAAAGTATCTTTATTGTATTTGCCATTTGGTGGAATCATTAATTCTTACCTGTTAATGAACTTATAGTGCCAATGCCATTTGGACACAATCAAGTACTATGATAGCCCTTAAACCATTTAGAAGTTAACAGAATAAAATGACTGTATGGTATTGTAACAAACAAAATAGTCTATGAAATGGATCACTTTCATCAGTATGAACTATACCAAAGGTAGAGGAAGAGTACATTCTTTATTCGATAAGCCTAGGTATTTGAAATATAGTTTTCTTACCCCTGAAAGTTATGGGTGTCAACATTGTGTTAACCACCCACAGCTAGGCAAGTGCAAAAGAGTCACCAAGTCAATTCAGTTCCACTACGTTGGGGAGATAAAGTTGATCAGCATTGTTTGTCCTGATTATTATCTGAGTGCTCCTATTTGAAGGGCATGAAAGTGAACATTTGTCAAGGATAGAATTAAGGCTCTCCAAAAGACTCCAGTTATTAAATAGTGTCCTGCTACTCATGATTGGAGTTCATGTATGAAGAGTTAGACAAGGTTCTTTAAATTGGTTTCAGGTTTTGAAATTGTACCCTGTCCTCGAGAGAAGTTTGTTGGAGAAAGTAAGAAATAAAGATTATATTTATCAATATGTAGAGAAGTTAAAGAGTGCTGCTCCAGTGACTGGAAAGACGCTCACCATTTTGCTATCCCAGGCCCTTGTGTGGCTCAGGGTAGATTATCGTTGCAGGTCTGCAATCAGGCTTTCACTTCAAAGCTGCAGGGATTTACTATAAAAATGTAGCCAATATTTTAATCATTTTTTTTTCTGTTGTTTCTTAGCACCACCTAAAACAACAGTGAAACCAACACCTCCATCAACTACAACCAACAGAATTGGTAAATAATGATTAACTTCTCTATTTTATGAGTTGAAGGCAATATGCTTACCTTAAAACTATACTCCTCATTATAGGTAACCTGAAGTTCATACTTCCTCATGATTGCTACATTTCAAATATTAAACTTTTTATTTTGAAGAATTAATATCTTCATTTGACTGATGGAATTTCTGTAGATTAGTACAAACAATCTGTTCTTTTAAGTGTTCTCACCGGAAGTCAGATAAAAGCTGGCACTGGGTGTCATCCATTATGGATACATTCATTTTGGCAAGGAGAATGTATAAAAAATGCTACTCCTTCTATTGTATTGATAGTACTGTTGCATTAATAAGTATGAATATTTGAAGATAGTTTGACAGTGTTCCATGGTAACAGTTACAGAGTATTAGCTTATCTTGGACATTCTGGACCAGAGGTTTTGCAGATTCTTCATCAGAACAGACTTACAAAGACTTTTTTTTATGTTTATTCATTTTGTGGGATGTGGGTATTGCTGGCTGGCCAGCATTTATTGCCCGTCCCTAGTTGCCCTTGAGAAGGTGGTGATGAGATGCCTTCTTGAACTGCTGCAATCCACCTGCTGTGAGTTGACCCAGAATGTCATTATGGAGGGAATTCTAGGATTTTAACCCAGTGACAGTGAAGGAACAGCGATATATTTCCAAGTCAGGATGGTGAGTGGCTTGGAGGGGAATTTGCAGGTGGTGGCGTTTCCATATATCTACTGCCCTTGTCCTTCTGGATGGAAGTAGGTGTGAGTTTGCAAGGTGCTGTCTGAGGATCTTTGGTGAATTGCTGCACTGCATCTTGTAGATAGTACACACTGCTGCTACTGAGTATCAGTGGTGGAGGGAATGGATGCTTGTGGATGTAGTCAAGTGGGCTGCTTTGTCCTGGATGGTGTCAAGCTTCTTAAGTGCTGTTGGGGCTGCACTTATCTAGTGACCTTCCTTTCCGCGATTTTAAGTGTTGATGGGACCATGTCCCAAATTGCAGAAATGGACTCATTTGAATAATCAGCAGGTTAACCTATATTCATAATGGGGTAACAGTGATGTATGCCTCATTGTTGTTGGTACATCAGAACACTCCCTAGGCCCTCATGGATTGAAGCTTGAGATGAATATTGTTTGTCATTTGTTGCACAGAGTGTGGGTTGGCCAGTCAGAAGTTTATATGTGACAAAATATTGAATTGAATTGAATTGAATTGAATTAGCTTTATTGTCACATGTACTCAAATGGGTGAAGTGAAAAGTTTACATGTCGCTACATTACGGTGCCATCTCAGGTACAATGGTACCTAGGTACAGATTCTTAAGAATAAATTCTAGGAGAAAAAAAACTATAAAAATAAAGAAATTGTTTGGAGACAATAAAACTGGAAATGCTATAAATTTGAAATTACAAATGTAAAATTCTGTAAGCATTCAGCACATCAAGCAGTGGAGAGGGGAATAACAGTTCGTATGTAGCATTTATTGTAATGTTTGAAAATGTTCTGAAATGTTAACTTTGTTTCTAGGTTATACTTTTGGAAGAACTGGCAAGATGCTCACCATTTTGCTATCCAAGCCCTTGCATGACTCAGGGTAGATCATCATTGCAGGTCTGCAAAGCTGCAGGGATTTACTATAAAAATGTCGCCAATATTTTAATCTGTTTTTTCTGTTGTTGCTTAGCATCATTAAAAACAACAGTGAAACCAACACCTCCATCAACTACAACCAATAGAATTGGTAAATAATGATTAATTTCTCTATTTTATGAGTTGAAGACAACATATTTACTTTGAAACTATACCCCTCAGTATCAATAACCTGAGGTTCATACTACTTCATGATTGCTACATTTCAAATATTAAACTTTTTATTTTGAAGAATTAATATCTTCATTTGACTGATGGAATTTATGTTCATTTCTGTAGATTAGTACAAACAATCTGTTCCTTTAAGCGTTCTCACCGGAAGTCAGATAAAAGCTGGTACTGGGTGTCATTCATTACGGATACATTCATTCCAGCAAGGAGCATGTATAAAATATGCTACTCCTTCTGTTGTATTGATAGTACTGTTGCATTAATAAGTGTGAATATTTGAAGATAGTTTGACAGTGTTCCATGGTAACAGTTACAGAGTATTAGCTTATCTTGGACATTCTGGACCAGAGGTTTTGCAGATTCTTCATCAGAACAGACTTGGAAAGACACTTCTCTTATATATATCCCCCTGTGGGATGTGGGTGTCGCTGGCTGGCCAGCATTTATTGCCTGTCCCTAGTTGCCCTTGAGAAGGTGGTGAGCTGCCTTCTTGAACTGCTGCAATCCACCTGCTGTGAGTTGACCCAGAATGTCATTATGGAGGGAATTCTAGGATTTTGATCCAGTGACAGTGAATGAACAGCGATATATTTCCAAGTCAGGATGGTGAGTGGCTTGGAGGGGAATTTTGGAAGAAATAAAGAAATCTATAAGTAACAGAGGTGAATACTGTCCTCAACAGTTGTGAATACAAGTGAGATCCTCTCAACAGTGTACGCATTTCAAGTTGGACTTAGTGGTTAAGAATGTTTGTTTTTTTCTTCTTCAGAAGAGACAACTACAAGAATAATATGGGAAACAACTTCGACAGGTAAGTGATGTCTTCCTTCATGGAATCTTGGACAACCAGAGCACCCAGGAGACTATTTAACTCATCGAGCTGGATTTTCTCTCTGGGTTGAGAAACAGAGGTCTGATCTGTTTCTGAAACTTGGGCTTGTCCAAAGGAGGAAGCAGTGACTCATCTTTGATTTGCCTGAGGTGGTCAATTAATAGCTAAAGGGCAGTTTCAGTATCCAATGAAAGATCGGGGGTGGGCTGTTGTTGGAAAACCAATCAGAGCCATTTCAGCTTCAGGGGAGCAGCAGGCTGTAATTGTAGGCCAGGGATTGGGACACATCAAAATCCTGCTTTAGAAATTTTTAAATTGTTAATTTAAAAAAAAAGATTCAGCAGCCAGGCTACTGTTTGGAGAAAAAGGAGACCCTTTTCCAGAGAAAATTATGATCGGTCCTGCACCCAAAAAAGACAGAGAAGGCCTTTAGGCTTGTTTGGAATGCTGGTCTCTCAGCCTGTATGGCTGCCTATCTCAACTGGGGGTGATAGTGGTACTATGGTAATGTGACTGGACTAATAATATAGAGAGCTAGCTAATGCTGAGGATATGGGGTCAGATCCCACACTAGCTACTATAATTGAATTTAAATTCAATTAATAAAATTGGGAATTTGAAAGCTAATGTTATGAAATTACCATCAATTTTCATAAAAGCCCATCATATTGCATTAGTTTCCTTTCAGGGTAAGAAATTTGCTGGCTTGTGTCTGAGTTCAGATCCACAGCAATGTGATTGATTCTTAAGTGCTTTCTGACATGGCCTAGTAAGTAATTTAGTTTGAGGGAATTGGAGGTGGATAATAAACACTGGCCTTACCAGAGACACCCACATTCCATCAAAGAATAAAAAAGATCACTTTTGCATATTAGCGATACAGTGTATGCAGCTGCTGGCTTCCAATCTCACATCAACAAAATGGCTTGGAGATGGGATGGAGCTGAAGAACTGTGAGGCAGGAGGGATAACATTTAACTCCCATTCACTCCTGAAAATCCAGACAATCATGTTTGTGTCAGCTTTTTGAATGAGCTGATCAATTCTTCCCAGTGATCTGCTGTGCCTCCACTGTTCTTTTTATTTCAAGCATTTATCTAATTTCTCTTGGAAACTTCTTTCAAACATGCTTTCATGATCTTTTCAAGCATTAGATTCCAGACTGTTACTACTCAATGTGTGTACTGACTTTCAATATACTTGAAAAGTAATTTGACAGAATTGTTCTTTTTACAACATTGGCCTAAATGTACTGAGATTCATTGTGCTCAGAACAGTGTTGTTTATCAAGTTTAAATTTTTAATCTGGGAGGAATACTATAGGGGCCTGAAAGACCTGGACCATGTTGAGAAATCTGGGAAATATGCGTGAGAACACCCATAAGGCCCTTTCTGATGTGGTGAGGATCTTCTTATTCCAGGTGTTAAGACATGATTCTCACTAGGGAGCAGCGAGTTGCCTATTAACAGAGATTATTGCTTGTTATCAACCTCATTAACTACAAATCTCATCTCATTAATAAACAACTTGCTATCCTTTCCTACTACACTTGAGGAAACTAGAAGTTGAGAGTTCCTGACCTGAAAGTCACAGCAGGTAGATGGTGACTTCAGCTCACTGTTTGCTCCTCTAGGCTGCCATTTTGAATACCCAGTAATATCGTCTAAGGACACACTTCAGGACATCAGCTACATGTATCCATGTGTATGGATGCTGGTATCTGATTGCTGCTAGACTCTCAATCCACTCATGGCACCTTGCTATAATATAATAAACATAGGAACAGATGTAGGCCATTCAGTCAATCAAGTCTTCTCCGCCATTCAGCAAGATCATAGCTAATCTAATAAACTCCACTTTCCTGCCTAATCCCTAGAACATTTGATCCTCTTAATGATTTAACAATCTGTCAGTCTCAGCCTTGAATACACTTAACAACCCAATCTTGAAAATCCGCTGTGGTAAAGAATTCAACAGGTTCACTATCCTGTGAAAGAAGGAATTCCTCCTCATCTCTGTCGTAAAGGTGCAACCGTTTACTCTGATATTATGTCCTCTGCTCCTAATCTCTCTCATAAGGGGAAACAATCTTTCTGCATCTACCCTGTCAAGCCTCCTAAAAATCTTATTTGTTTCAATAAGGTCACCTCTCATTCTTCTAAACTCCAATGTGAACTTGTAATATAGTCTCGACATATCTGGAATCAACCTAGCGAACCTTCTCTGGACTGCCTTCAATGCCAGTCTATCTTTGCTTACCAAAGGACCAAAACTATTCACAATGTTCTAGGTATGGTCCGACTCGTGCCTTGTATAATTTTAGCAAAACCTTTCTATGTTTATACTTCATTCCCTTCAAAATGAAGGCCACTGGTTCATTTGTCTTCTCTATTACCTAGTGAACTTTGATGCTAGTTTTTTTTTGTGATTCATACATGAAGATCCCCAAATGTCTTCACACTGCAGCTTTCTGTCGTCTTTCTCCATTTAAATAATATTCAGCTCCTCTATTCTTCCTGACAAAGTACATAACCTTGCATTTCCTTACATTATGTTCTGTCTGTTTTACCCACTCACTCAACCTCTTTATATCCCTCTGTACAACTTGCATGTTAAATTCAGTACTTGTCTTTCCACCTCTTTCTGATCCAACTATAGAATGCTTCTGCACTTTAAAGCTGCACTTAGGGGCATGTCAGTAACTACTATTGAAGCGCTATTGCAAGGATACTTTGCACACTGGGACAGGCACCCAGCTCACAGGCTGGAATAAGCTGCATCAGGGCAGTTCACTTTCTCTCTTCCTGCTCACTCACCGTGGCTCCCACCCGGATATTGACAGCATCTGGCCTTGCCTCACCTTCCCTTACCTTTTAGCTCTTTGCCTCCTCAACTAGAGCTACCAGGCTCACATTACTTTTGTCTTGCCTCGCCGTTGAGCTCCAAAAAAAAAGCCAAGAAGCTTGTCCATAGCTGTCAGCAGTTCTCGGTGAAGTCAAATGAAGGTAAACACCGTTGAGTACAACAAGTTGTGTCGCAGCCATTATCAGTTCAGAGGCTTGGACATGGTCAGTCCGCTGCTTGGTGCAGTCAAGGTCCTTTTTTCATAGGGTTGAGGAGCAGAATGTTGGGCAGCACACCATGTGTCTTGACACTTTTTATCTTATTGTGGGCTGTTCTCTCCTGGAATGAAAGAAAGGGAGGGATTGAGTGAGATGAAAGTGGATAATACAGCTGTTAGTGCTGGTATAGCTGGAGGAAACATGTCTTACAGTATAGAGGGCATGCAGAGCGGTGGTGACAAGTCTAGGGGTGTGTGACTATGAGTGAGGAATGATGCTGCATGCTATATTGAAAGTGAAAGAGCACAAGTGTTGGAGGGAATTGTGTGTGGTAGTAGAGAGAGAGTGACTGAGAGGTAGCATAGAGAGGATGGTGGCTCTTTCCTTGGTAGAGTGGAGATGTGTGTTGATCCTACCACAGTGTTGGCCTCCAGATAGTTGAGACCACAATGACCTGGCCCAGGCTGGCAGTGTCTGGCCTCCACTGTTAGTCAAGGGGGAATTGGTAGACTGTGGCCTAGTGGTATTATTGCTGGGCTATTAATCCAGAGACCCAGGTATTGACCTGGGTTCAAATCCCACCATGGCAGATGGTGGAGTTTGATTTCATAATAATCGGGAAATAAAAGTTTAATAATGACCATGAAATCATTACTGATTGTGAGGAAAATCCCATCTGGTTCACCAATGCCCTTTAGGGAAGGAAATCTACCATCTTTACCTGGTCTGGTCTACAGGTGATTCCAGACCCACAGCAATGTGACTGACATTTAACTGCCCCCTTGGCAATTAGAGCTGAGCAATAAATGCTGGCCCAGCCAGTGATGCCCTCATGATGCCCTCATGAATGAATTAAAAAAAGAGGACCGCCCTTTTCTGTACTGCCGTTAGGGTCTAGGTACGTAGTTAAAGAGATGTGTTTGAGACAATATGGCGAGCAAGCTGACTGGGCCACACGGAGAGAAACCTTCCATGAAACTCTATGAAATTGACACGTAGCTGAAATATGACAAGATTCAGCCCTCTGAGGCTGATATTCTTAATTAATCGCTGTGTATTTTGCATCCCAAATCACTCAGCTGACTTTTGTCAAAAGCCAGTAGATGTTGTTTGATGTATTTTAAAACGCAGGGTGGAAGCAGTAGCAGAATGATAATGGTAGTCCCGAATTCCAGATTAATGTCCTGGAGTTTGAATCCCACCCCGGCAGGTTGTGAAATTTGAATTCAATAAAAAGATAGTCTAATGATGAGCATGTAACTATTGTCAATTGTCGTAAAAACCCATTCTGGCTCACTAATGGGTGAGGAACAGCTTTTCATCATTTACAGAAATGATTTAGATGTGAATATAGGAGGTATGGTTGCTAAGTTTGCAGATGACACCAAAACTGGTGGTGTAGTGGATAGCGAAGAAGGTTGACTTAGACTACAATGGGATCTTGATCAGATGGGCCAATGGGCTGAGGAGTGGCAGATGGACTTTAATTTAGATAAATGTGGGGTCCTGCATTTTGGAAAAGGCAGGACTTATACACTTAATGATAGGTACGGTGAATAGCCAAGGTCTTTTCCCTGGGTGGGCAAACCCAGAACAAGGGGCATAGATTTAAGGTGAGAGGGGAAAAATTTAAAAGGGAACTAAGGGGCAACTTTTTCACAGAGGGTGATGTGTGTATGGAATGAGCTTCCAGAGGAAGTGGTGGAGGCTGGTACAATTACAACATTTAAAAGGCATCTGGATGGGTATATGAATGGGAAGAGTTTAGAAGGATATGGGCCAAATGCTGGCAGATGGAACCAGACTAATTTAGGATATCTGGTTGGCATGGAGAGTTGGACTGAAGGGTCTGTTTCCATGCTGTACCATTCTATGAGTCTAAGTCTGCTGTCCAAACCTCATCTGATTGACATGTGACTCCAGACGCACTGTGTTGTGGTTGATTCTTAATTGCCCTCTGAAATTGCACTAACATGCCACTCAGATCAAGGGGCAATTAGGAGTGGGCAATAAATGCTGGCCAGGAACTCCCATATCCCATGACAAATTTAATAAGAAGACTTTTTTTGTTTGAAATTACTAGTAATCAGAGATTCATAGTAACTGTTTGTATGTTCCTTGGTTAAAGTAAACCCTGGAAATGAAAAATCACTCAAATGGTACACCGCTCTCAACTCTGAGAGTGGCAAAAGGTCCAATATCCAGGCCTTGAAATGGCTTCTGCTGAAAGCTCCCACATAGCCTTATAAATGGGGAAAGCTTCTCTTGCCACTTACAAGGTCAGTACAAGAAGCGGACAACATTGTCATAAAGAAGTAGTATACCAAAAGTCTCCACTACCTTGGCCTGGCAGATGGATTATGTCTATTTGGAGGCTGGTACACAGACCGAAAAGCACATGGATCTTATATCCATTGTTATCACACTTCTTTCTTATGGTCAGTTGTGATTATTGTCTGAACATTTCCAGAACTAGAGTTTATCTGGGCAAATCATGTCAATGTGGATCTACCAATTGATTCCACCAGACACTAGAAACTAATATTTACAGTAACTAACACTCAAACCTACCTGACAATTCCAGGAACTTATTTCAGGAAATCATGATCTGAATGTAAGGGACATTTTATTTCATTTCATTTCATTTATTTTCACGTGTATTCAATGTAAAAATACAGTGAAAAGTGTGTACCATAGCAGTACATATGTGGCGCCATTCACTTTAACTTAGAATAAGATAAGAAAAAATTGTTGTGTTCTTTCATGGCTGAAATGATTTAGTGAATAGACAATGATAAAAGTGAATAGATTTCAGATTTGCCATTTTTATTCAGTTGGCTGCAGGCACCGAGAAGTCTTCAATAAAACAGGAAATTCTGCTGATGCTTAACATTTCAGGAAATGTCAGGTGGGTTGAAAACACAGTTCACTTTTCAGAAGGTGAGCTTTCTGATGGAATGTTTACCTCTTTTATAGAAACAACACAACCACCAGTGATACCAACTACAACCATGTCTACCACCAGCTACACACCAGGTAAGTTATGGAGCTTTCACACCAAGTGAGTTGTTGTTGAGCATGTGGTCTGTCATTGAAAAGGTAACAAAGTATAGCCTCCACATTTTTATTGTCAATTTTCCTTACTTTTTATTTTCAAAATGCTTATGTCTTTGCTATTGTAACTCACAGTAACTTTAAGGAAATTGTATTCTGCCATGACATTTGGCAGAATAGGATACAAGTCAGGAATCTGATACCTTCTGATGAATTGTTTATCAATGTGCATCAACTTCCATAACCATTTAATGTATGTTAGGGAAGGAAATCTACCATCCTCACCTGAGTCTGGCCTACATATAACTCCAGACCCAGAGCAATGTGGTTGACTCTTAACTGCACTTTGAGAATTAGTGATGGGAAATAAATACTGGTTTTGCCAGCAACACAGACATTCCAGGAATGAATAAAAAAACAATTCCCTTGGCATATAAAGCTCTGTGAGAAAGGTGTGTTATAATATATTTCCTACTCAGTGATACAGTTTCAGTTATCAATACATGGTGGAGGTTGGGCGGGGGGTGGAACACAAATGTGTTTGTCTCGTTAATTTGCAAATTGCCGCCTGAATATCTTCAGGATCATTATTTATCAATCCATTATGCTCACCTGTCTAACATGAGGATGCGCCACTGGCTATTGCAAGCTAACACTTCTAGCACCTCTTACATAGAACAAATGTTATACTGACTACAAGGGTTACAGATTAGTTGCAATTAGCTGAAATAATTTTATTGAGCAGACTAAGATGGGAGAGAACAATTTCAAATTTATGATTGTTCGGGTTGGATACATGCAAACGGAAGGAAAGTTTTTGGATTTAATTCTGTTGACCCTCAGGGTGCAGTGTAACAGGTTGAAATGTTTTCTTTGTTCCATAGAAACCACACCACCACCAGGGAGACCTACTACAACTACATCTACCAGCAGCTACATACCTGGTAAGGGACAGTGGTTTTATACTGAAGACCAAGTTTTCTAACAAAGACGTTGTTTTCTAACTCCATTTGCCAAATGAATGTACAAATAAGGAACAGAAATAGGCCGTTATGTCTCTCAGTCTTGCTCGACTATTTTAGAACGTAATGGCTGATCTGATTGTAACCTCAAATCCATATTCCCCCCAACTCCTGATAAGTAAGGAGTATTGTGGGTAACATATTGGCATGGTTCTAAGATTGTCTGGTTAATTGGAAGCAGAGAGTATGCCTGAATGAGTCTTTATTCAGGTTAGCAGAATGTATTGAGTGGAGAGGCACATGAATCAGAGCTGGGACTTAAAAATGACATGGATGATGGGACAGAGACATGGTGGCCAAATTTGTATAGTAAGAATTTACCTTTACCTTACTCAAGAACTCTGCTTCCAACATCTTTTCAAGAATTGAGTTTCAAAGACTCACGACCTTCTGTGAGATAAAAGGAAAACCTTTGTGTCTGTTTAAATGAATGATTGATTCCTTATTGTTAAGCATGATCCCTAATTTTAAATTCTCCCTCAAAAAGAAACATCCCCTCTCTCTTCACCCTGTCAAGACTCCTCAAGATCTTACAGTTTCAATCAAGGCACATTCTTCTAAATTGCGGAAGATACCAGCCCATGTATTTATATTGGTCCTTAAATAAGATGACTGCTCCTATACACAGTACTGTAAATGTGATTTCACCAGTAAATTAGAGCTTATTTCTTCCTTTTCTATTCAATCTCGTTGCAATATATGATAACATTTTATTACCTGTCTGAATTACTTGCTGTCCCTATATACCAATCTTTTGTGATTCATGCACAATGAAAGCTAGATCCCTTTGTATCTCAGAGCATTGTAATTTCTCACCATTCAGATAACATGCTTTCTTAATTCTTTCTGCCAAAATGTAGAATTTCACATTTTCACACATGAACCTCCATTTTCTAGAGCTTTGCCCTTTCATTTTTAATCTAGTTTTGTAGTTCCCTTACGTCCTCTTCACAGCTGACTTTCCTACCTACCTTTGTGTCATCAGAAAATTTGGCCACCATGTCTCTGTCCCATCATCCATGTCATTTTTATGTCCCAGCTCTGATTCATGTGCCTCTCCACTCAATACATTCTGCTAACCTGAATAAAGACTCATTCAGGCATACTCTCTGCTTCCAATTAACCAGACAATCTTAGAACCATGCCAATATGTTACCCACAATACCATGAGTTTTATTTTCAGCAACAACCTCTGATGTGCCATTTTAGCAAAGTTTTTTGGAATTCCAAGTGCAGGACATCCATCAGTTCCTCTTTCTGAAGTTACTTCAAAGAGCTCCAACGTTAGTTGAACATGCCTCCCCTTTTAAAAAAAATCTTATTGATTCTGCCTGTTTGATCTTATCTAAATATCCTGCTACAATTTCTTTTAAAATAGCTTTTAGCATATCCATTATGACAGATATTGAAACAATGTCCTGCAGCTTCCTGCGTTCTGACTTTTGCCCTTTTGAACAAAGGAGTTACATTTGCTGTCTTCCATAAAACAGTAGAGCACAGGCAATGGTCCTTCAGCCCACCATGTCTGCACCAAGTAGGATGTTATTGTAAAGTTCCACCTGCCTGCACATGGTCCATATCGTTCCATTTCCTGCCAGTTCGTCTGTCTGTGTGACTGCCTCTTAATCATTGCTATCGTATCTGCTTGTATCACCTCCCCTAGCAGTACATTCTAAGCACTCACCACCTTCTGTGCAAAAATATTGCCTTGCAACTTAAAAATTTCCCTCTGTCACCTTAAAGCTTAGCCCCCTAGTATTTAATATTTCTATCCTGGAAAAAAGACTGACTATCCATTCTACCCATATCTCTCATAATCTAATATATTTCTAATAGGTCACCCTTCAGCCTCTGACACTGTACTGAAAACAATCAGAGATTGTCCAACCTCTCCTTATAGCTAATACACTCCAATCCAGGCAATATCCTGGCAAACCTCTTTTGCATCCTCTCCAAAGCCTCCATATTGTTTTTATAGTGTGACAACCAGAATTGCATTCAACACTCCAAATGTGGCTTAACTAAAGTTTTATAGAGTTGCAGCATGACTCACCAACTTTTATACTCAATGCCCTGACTGATGAAGGTAAGTGTGCTGTATGCCTTCTTTACCACCTTATCCATTTGCTTTGCCACTTTCAGAGAGCTATGCACTTGCACTCCGAGATCCATCTGTATGTCAATGCTCCTATCATTTACTGTATACTTTCCTTTTGCATTTGATGGCCCAAAATGTATCACCTTACACTTGTCCAGATTAAACTCCAGTTGCCATTTCTCTGCCCAACTTTCCAACTGACCTATATTCTGCTGTATCCTTTGACAACCTTCCTCACTATCCACAACTCCAACAATTTTCGTGTCATTTGCAAATTTACTAATCAAACCACAGACATTTCCATCCAAGTCATTTATATACATTTCAAGCAACAAGGGTCCCAACACTGATCCTCGCGGAACAACACTGGTCACGGATCTTCAGCCAGAAAAATACTCCCCTCCACAACTACCCACTGTCTTCGATGACAAAGACAATTTTGTATCCAACTTACCAACTCAACACTCACTTGGAGCCTACCATGGAGGACCGTTTCAAATGCTTTTGTAAAGTCCATGTAGAGAATGTTTACTGCCCTACACTCACCAATCATCTTTGCAACTTCCTCAAAAATCTCAACCAAATTTGTGAGACAAGACCTCCTCCCATGACACCATGTTGACTATCCCTAATAAGTTCATTATTTTCCAATTCCACCTCTAAAAATCTTCTCCATTAACTTCCCTACCACTGATGCAAGGCACAATGCCTAAAATTTCCTGGGTTATCCCTGCTGCTCTTCTTACATAAAGGAATAACATTGGCTATTCTCTAGTCTTCTAGGACCCCACCTGTGGCTAAAGAAGATACAAAAACCTCTGTTAAGGCTTCGGCAATTTCCTTCCTTGCCTCCCTCAGTAACCTGGGACAGATCCCATCAGGGCCCTGGGGATTTATCTATCTTTAATGCTTCTCAAGACACCAAACACTTCCTCCTTCTTAGTATCAACATGCCCAAGAATATCAACATACCCCTCCCTAATCTTACCATCACCATCTCCCTCTCCTTGATAAATACTACTGCAAATTACTCACTAAGGACCTCACCCACTTGATTTGTCTCCACCCATAAATTCTTCCTTTGTCCTTGAGTGGAACTATCCTTTCCCTAGCTGCCCCCTTGCTCTTGATATGCATGCAAAATGCCAATTCAATGGAACTTTTGCTGAATCCAGAGAATTTTGGAAAATTAAAACCAATTCATCAACTATTTTACTAGCTACTTCCTTTAAGATTCTAGGATGAGGTGTATCAGGAACTGAACACTTGATGACTTGCAGCTCCAACAATTTACTAAGTACCACTTCTCTGATGATTGTAGTACGTCTGAATTTATCCCTCCTTTATATTTCCTGATTTTGTATTACCTCTGAAATGCTACTTCTATCCTGTATCTCTTGGACTCTAAATTTTCCCTGCTTCTTTATTTCCTACACATTTCTTTTTTGTGTTTTATCCAATCTTCTGACCTACCACTTGACCTTGTACTACGTTATGCTTTTTTCTTTAACCTTTTTGACCTTTTTCATTATCCACAGATTGTTTGTCTTTCAGAGTTTCTCTTACTTGTTGGATTGTGTGAGACCATAAGATGTAGGCTATTCTGCTTATTGAGTCTGCTCTGCCATTTAATGTGATCGTGGCTCATAGAATAAGCCTAAATTCCACTTTCTGTATTTTCCCATTATGCCTTGATTCTCTTATTGATTAAAAATCTGTCCATCACAGACTTGAGAATACTTAATGACCCTACCTTTTCAGCCTTCTGTGGTAAAGAATTCTACATGCTCACTACCCTCTGACTCCAGGAATTTCTCATCATCTCTATCTTTTAAGGCCAACCCCTTATTCTAAGATGAAGTGCTGTGGTCCTAGATTCTCACCAGGTGAAACAACCTCTCCAGTTCTACCCTGTCAAGTCCCCTTTGAATCTTGGATATTTCAATAAGGTCACCTCTCATTCTTCCACATTGTGCTCCCAAAGAGTACAGGTACCATTGAATCAACTTCTCGTGTAAGGCTAACTCTCTATACCTGGGATCAACAACGTGAACCTTCTCTGGACTGTCCCCAATGCCTATATAATCATTTGTTTATTTTATGTATTCTGAAATATGCCCTTAAATGTCAACCACTGTACTTATACGAGCTATCTTGCAATCAAATTCACCAATTTACTTCAACCAACTCTGCTTTCATGCCTTCATAATTGCTTTTATTTAAGGTTTAAAAATAGTCTCAGACTGATCTGTTGATCACTGCTACCTAAGGGCACCCTACCTTTTTTGAGGGCATTAATTAATCTCATTGCACAGTACCAGGTCTACTGTAGCCTGGTCTGGTTGTGTCTAGAACATGCTGTTCTAAGAAACTATCCTGAAAACATTTTTATGAACTCTGCATCTAGGCTATTTTTGCTGACCTGGATCTTCTGGCCTATGTAGTGACTAAAAGCCCCATGATTAACACCGTACTTTTCTGACAAGCTCCCATTATTTCTCCCTTTATTATCTGCCAAGGTTCTGCCAAGTATACCTGCTACCAAATGGATTGAGGGCACAAGTAATAGTTATATGTTAATTAAGGGATAATGGGGTGAGAATTGGCTGTGTAATGTGGAGAGGAAGAAATCAGTGTGTTGGTTTTGTGATATGTATATGGACTAAATTTCTGACTAGAAAAGCATTTGTATGAACTTTGTCTGACTAACCTTTTAACCATTAGTATTTAACACATCCAATGTTAGGTTCCTATACAACACTCCCACAAATGACTTACTTCCTTTATCATATCTCTACCCAAAACATTTCAACATTTTTTTCTCTGAACTTAGATGATCCGTCTTTATTGTGTAGATACTAATATTATGTAACAGAGCCATCCTTACACTGTTACTTAGCTTCCTTCCCTTCGTAAATGTCCTGTAGCCTTCAATATTCTGGAAGCAACCAATGTTGTCTAGAAGCTATGTCTCTGTTATGATTTCGGATCAAACTTGTTGATTTCTGTTTGTGCTGTCAGGTCATTTGTTTTGTTTTGAAAGCTGAACATGAGGATCTCCTGCTCACTCTCTGTCCTCTGGTTCTGTGCGGGAGTACACACAAGGTGCTCCCTTTATACAATTACTGAGAATGCTGCTCAAGTATTTTCAGAACTGTTCTTTATCAGTTCGGTTTGCATCTATCTCATGTGAGAATGTGCCAGAGACTATTGCAAGCTAAAGATCTGAACAACAGCCATATCAGACTTGAAATATCAACGGTATTTCTCTCTCTCACCAGGTGCTGCCAGACCTGCTGAATTTCTCCAGCATCGACAGTATTTTATTTTTAGAACATTTATAGAAACCCCATCAAATCTGCATGACTATTCCAGCAATGCTGATATCATAGAACTGTCATAATGAATTATGAGTTATTAAATAGTGCGGTCTCTCTTGACTAAAATAATGTTATTGAGCGGACTGATATAGGAGAAAATAATTTCAATTTTGCAATTGTTTAACTTGGCTACATGCAAAAGGAAGCAAAGCTTATAGATCTGATTCTGTTGAGCCTCAGGGTGCAGTGTAACAGGTTGAAATGTTTTCTTTGCTCCATAGAAACAACACCACCACCAGAGAGACCGACTACAATTACATCTACCAGCAGCTACATACCTGGTAAGGGACAGTGGTTTTATACTGAGGACTGAATTGTTCTGAAAAAGAGTGTTACTTCTTAACTCTATGTGGTCTATTATGGACAAGACAACAACACATGGATTTTATTTTTACACCCAAATTGCCCTCCCTTGTTCCTCATTCTAAATATTTTGGCTTTTCATTCATTAAGGTACAATCTTTAGAAATTGTATTCCTTTTTGTTTCTGAATAACCAGCTGTGTGTGTTGCTGGTTAGACCAGCATTCATTGCCCATCCCTAATTACCTTAAGAAGGTGCTGCAGAGCTATCTTCATGAATGGTTGCAGTCCATGTGGTGTATAGACAACTCAATGATATAACTGAGAGAGATTTCCAGGATTTTGACACAACAATGGTGAATTGATGAGCAGATAGTTTGAAGAAATGTTTCGGTATCCCGTATACGGTGTATCTTTGTACAACATTTTGAAGAAAAGAGATGTATATTAAAAATTGCCGTGAATTAACGGATCATTTTGAAATGATCAATAACCTCCACACCCATATCCCTGATATTTGAATGAAGCGTACTCGACTCCAACTGAAAAGGCTACAATATATATTATATTCTCATTATATAACACATTTTCGGCGACCAATCGTATTTATCACATGTAAAGAAGTTCACACAGCTTATCAATAGATCGAATCAGTCTCTGGACTCCATCTTAGATCTTTGTTTCAAGATGTTCACTCCTGTGGGCTGTTGATAACTGCTGCCTTGATCTTTAATATTACGAGTGGAATCCTGCTATGAGAACAGAATCTGACACTAGATCAGTTTGGCAGTGAAATATTGTGCTGATCTTTTAATTAGTGCTCAAAAAAAGTCAACTTAGGCAGTAGAACTGTGATGTACCATGTCCCTATCTAATTTGACTGCCATTTTCCTTTTCCAGATTTCTTGTTAACAAAGTTGATTAAGGACAGAAGTATTAAGTCCAGTCTTTTTATTTCACAGAAGAGGAATGTAATGGTGAATGGTCCCCTTGGATTAATGACAACACACCTTCTGAGAGCAGCCTGGGGGATTCTGAATTATTGGATCCATTACGTGATGAACTGTGTCCTTCCTCTTCTGATACAATTAATAAAATTCAGTGCCAATTTGTTGATTTCCCTGAGTGGCCAGTGAGTCAATCAATAGACAATGTGACCTGTGACAGAGA